ATTCGGTTAACAATGTCAAAGCTCGCCGACGAGTGGGACAAAAGTAAGAATCGTTGGAATGAGAAAAATATTTGCTTGTAGCTAAGGACTGAAAACTAGATAATTGAAAGGAGGGGGTTACAGGTTTTTATGTTGCACGATATTTTCTTTAAAAAGCCCTTCATGCATTTAATTTGGTGTTTCCTCGATATTTCTTTTCTGAAAGGAGAGGTTGTACATTATATTATTTTATCCCTAGGCGAAGTGTTTCATCGATATTTTTTGGGGATATTTACGCAATCTCCCACTTCACCCCTCCCCCTCATATATCTCATGGTCCGTGTAAGGGAAAAAGATTGTTGAATAAATAAATCAGCCAGGTAACCTTTCCGTTATATGCATCCCGGTTTATCAACCGTCTTCCATTTTTAAGCCTACTGAAAGATGTGTCTTTTTTTTTCAAAAAGTTCTTTATGAATTATCCTCGGAAAAGGACACTTCTTTGATAATAAAGAGTTTTGCCCAAACGAAAGATTATTTACGTTACTCGGAAACAAACACTTAATAAAATTAAAAATTGATACATAACTCTTTTCCCCCATCCCATGCTATCTGTGTTTAAATTTTCAATAGTGTTGACGAAGTTTCTAAACTGAGTGTATCCGCGCCCGTTCTGTCTAGTTTATTCCTTGAAATCTTTTAATAAAGATTTTTTAGGACCTTAGAATGCCTGCTTTTCTGGTCTGGTAGAAGTACTACTACTATCTACCTGAGCATTTTTCGCTATCAACTTGGGCTATCAATTTCAAGTCGTTTCCAAAAGTTTTTCTTGCTTGATCTCTCTTCTTGCAACGCATATTTGGACTACAAACATCTTGGCGCCATACAATTTTTACATTGGAAAGCCAAATAAATATTGCTATACTAAAGCTCAACTTTCAAAAATTTCCATTCATTTTCTATTATCAGTTTACGGCTTTTACTTTGATCGCAAGCTAGTGTTTTATGTACTTCAAACGGCTTCGGTCCGTATATTCAAGATCTCGGGCACAGGTTTTCAACACCCCGCTCTCTTGGCCACAAAGCTACTACCTGATGACTGTTTTAAATTGATGTTAGTAACCTATCTACCTCAATCTGCATGAAATCAGTTTTTGGTTATAAGAAATGTGTTTTTATYCTTTAACACACGCTGTTTTTACTCAATTTCATAACATCAGCCCAGTATTAAGTAAAACTTTGCTCATGATTTCAAAGCTCCCCGACGAGTGGGACCAACGTAAGAATCCCTGAAATAAGAAACTGCTATACAAAAGCTCGATTTTCAGTTTATTTTCTAATATTAGTTTACGGCTTTTACTTTGATCGCAAGTTAGTGTTTTAAATATTTCAAACGGCTTCGGTTCGTATATTCAAGACCTCGGGCACAGTTATTCCCATCCTGCTCTCTAGGCCACAAAGCCCACCTGATGACTGTCTTAAATGGATGTTAGTAACCTATCTACCTCAATCTGCATGAAATCAGTTATTGGTTATAAAACAATGTGTTTTTATTCTTTAACACACGCTGTTTTTACTCAATTTCATTTAACATCAGTTAGCCCAGTATTAAGGAAAACTATGCTCATGATTTCAAAGCTCGCCGACGAGTGGTGCCAACGTAATTGAATCCGTGAAATAAGAAACTGATATTTGATTGTAGTTAAGGAAAACAGGTTATAATACAATGTAACGAGAACTTTGGCATAAAAGCCTGCCTTTCTGTACATCCATCACGGTTAATCAGTCTAGTTTTCGATTCTTAAACCTAAAGAAAGATGTACGTTGTTTTGATATTCTGTCTGAATTAGTACCCGGTAAAGAAAACTTCTTTGATTTATTGTCAAAATGAAGAGTTTTGCCCGAACGAAAGATTAAGTTACTCGGAAACAAACACTTAATAAACACAGATAACATGGGAGTAAGAGTTATGTATCAATTTTTAATAGTGTTGTCGAAGTCAGACCACCAACAATGCGTTTGCAACTACACTCTATTTCTCGGTCAAAATTAATTATCCGTGCGGGATGCGTAAACGGATAAGGATATGACGTTCATAACTATAGACGCATGCGCAACGTTTGTGTTTATTCATTTAGCTCCAGCTTAAACACACGACAGATTCCTCAATATTAGCTTATGACTTTTTTTTTCTTATTAATTGCAGACCACTTTGATGCCTCAAAAACTTCAACAACTTCAGATTTTTTCTTCACACCCGTATCTTGCCTAGTGAATTCAAAACCCTCCCGGTTTTAAGTTTCATAGTTTATACAAGAACTATAGTAATATTTCAAAGCCAGAAATTTGAAATAAATTTATTCCAAAATTCCTCGTGAATGATTAATGAGCATTTAAAGTTATTCCAAAGCCTCCAATTCGGACTGCACGGGATTTTCAATTTATTAAAAGTTATACTATTTCCAAATATATTATGAGAATTGTTGTTCGGAAATCTCGTCCAGTCATCATTGTCGGGTTTGAAATTTTTCTTAACATAAAAGCAAATATATGTTAAATATAAGTGTTAAATATGGTCTGTTTGATTGTTGCTATTTTTATTTCGTTGCATTACCACGTGACCTACGTCATGTTTGTCATAATTCTTCTACCATGCATAGATGCCAGATGTTAAATATGAGTGTTGAATATGGTGTGTTAGATTCTTGCTATTTTTATTTTGTTGCATTATCGCGTGACGTACATTATGTTTGATACAGTTCTTCCACCATCCATAGATGCTAAAGGTGAAATATAAGTGTTGAATATAGTGTGTTTGATATTGAGAGATTAATGCTCAGCTGGATGCTTAGTAACGTAGCTGTCAATAAACGGCAGCTCTGTCATTTGCTGAAATAAAACTTGATCAGTACATAATATTGCACCCACCAAGTTGAAGTACAGGACCCGGTTATACAAAGCCTGGATAGCGCTATCCGATGGATAAATCCTTATGGAGTGATAAGTCGATGCTGTTATCCAATGAATTTATCCACTGGATACGATTTATCCGTCGGATAGCGCTATCCTAGCTGAAGTACAGCACAACTTGAAGTGGTCGAAGTTAAATAACGTTCTGGAATCATTTCTAGTTTTCATGGACACTTTATTGTCTATGAGAACAATCTTTAGATCGTAAAATTTGCCAGTTGCACTGATAATTCTGTTGTCAACAAAAGAATCTTTTGGGTCGCTGTAAAACATATGTCCCAGATATTTAAATTCCTTAACATTCTCAATATCGTTCGCAGAAATGTTCAGTAGACTTCTTTCGTTCATGAGTTCTAAGTCATTGAAAACTTGTGTTTTTGTTTACTTGAAGCTAATCTGTAGACCATATCTAGAACAGGTTGTGTATACAATATCCAAAATAGCCTGTAAGTTAGAAAGATCCTTTGAGAAAATTGCAACATCATCTGCATATAGTAGCCATTTAATCATTTCAGTTCCATTCATGCGCCCAGTGTTTCGTTGATGGCAAGCATTCAAGTAAGGTTAGCACGTGCCACCTACATCTGGTGGCCCGCATCTCCTGGCCCCACACGCATCTGGTCAGGGAAACGTTGATCGATTTCATGTGCAGCTACCTTAAGTACCCAATCAAAGAACCAATTGAACACAGTTGGACTTTCTATACCACTTTGTCTGGTTCCTGCTTCAATGTGGAAAGTCATCAACATAAATACATGAAGCCACAGGAAGCGAAATGGAACTTGTGTATTTCAATGATAAAATAGAATTGAATACATAAACTGAAATTGTACATTTTGTCCTGGTCAAGAAATCTAGTTTTCATGATCATCAACCGCTGTACCAAATGAATAACTGAATAGTTCTGGCAGAGAGTAGTTTTAATATTTCTTAATCCAAACATCAGCACAAGTTTGTCCCTCGTTGTCATTTTCCCATTCGTTGTTCAGATCTTGATCCACCCATATCCTGAACTCCTTGCCTGCTGTCACTGCTAGGGGAGGTGACAACTCGGGGAATGTAAGGTCTGGGTCCATGTTGGTCACACCTGGCAACTGGTATATCAGGAAACCGAGCTTAGCATAAGTCAGTGGGAAGTCAGGTGGTGGACTGATTCTATTGTTGTCGGCATCAGTGATGTGTAAATTAAGATCTTTATTGTTCCTTCTATTGGTAGTTCCCCAGTAGGCTTTGGTGTTTCCAGTTGTCCATGTTATCCCACCTCCAGACACATAAACAAGTTTGAAGTTCAAGACATGGCAAGCAACTGGGATAGTAAAATTTCCGAACTGGTCATTTTTTGATCCAATGCACACTGCGCTACCAACTTTAAGCCATTCTAAGATTTAATAAATAAACTGACTTTAGTTCTAGTTTAATTATTAGGTCTCTCCCTTTATTTGAGCCTTTTCTCAGAGGTTCCCCATTTTCCCTCCCTCCACAAGATCTAGCACACTAAATTAAAACTCAATTTGTGAGATAGCCATGTCGCATTTTTAGACTTGTTGGACTTGTAAGCTTAAAATTAAGTTGTACACTTTTAAAATAAATAAAAAATGTTCTGGCATATATTTCTTATTGTATATAGGTTGCATCAATATTCTTACGTTAGTTAGAATTAACTTAGTGTTACTTAGTGTTACGTCATAACCACCATCTTGGTTGACGATAACAAAGCATTCCTCATTAGCTTCTCTTGTTAGATCAACCAACATGGCGGCTGTTTCATTGTTATTTGTATCGCAAAGGGTTTTCACTCATGTGGTTGCACGAGCAAGTTTTGCAAACGACACCACCACAATACGTAATAGGAGAGATCTTTTGAACGATTTGCAAGGCGCTTGATTATCACTAATCCCGATGAAACGGATGCTCAGAAGTGTATCGAATTCCAAGGCACATCGTGAATTTTTCACAATATTTTTCACAATATTGTTTTCAATATTTCTGTACTTTTACTTGCGTTTTTTTTTTTTTTTTTTTTTTTTTTTTTTTTTTTTTTTTTTTTTTTTTTTTTCTGTTTTTTATTTGTTTGATATCATATAATAGATTTTCACGAACGCGCGCTATGATTGGCTGAAAAGCTATGTATTATCAGAGCATAGAAACATAAATATGACGTCAAAACCATGTTTTCTATACAAAATTAATCATAGAAGTGACGTCACAGGAATTCGGCTTTTTCAATTTAAAGCATTTTGACATTTAACTTTATAAATATTTATTTCTTTTTATTAAAAAATATGTCTTTCCTCTAAAAAAGGAAAATATGTCGTTTTGAAGCACATTTGATTGGTTCTACATACATTTCGACGAGTAAAGCTGTCTTTCGTTTGTGCTGCGACTATACAATGACCTTATTTCGCTAAACTAGAAGCTTTTTGTTTGACCCGTGTGATGGTGTTAGAAAAGTCAAAAAAATAATTTTCAACATTTTTTATAGTCTAACGAGAATGAACAAATCTATTGTAAGAAATTTAAGGTGCATGGTGCTGACACACGGTGCAACATTGCATGCAACATTGCATGCAGGGTGTGTCTTGTTGCAAAGTGTGTCTACCCCAAACATGTTGCATGCAACAAATCTGAAGTTGAATCGCGCTCTACTCTTGCAACATTGCGCGCAACAAATTTCATCATATGAACATGGCTGCAACATTACCTGCAACATTTTGAAATTTCCAGCCAATCAGCTTGCACCAAATTTATAACTTCTGACCATACATCTTAACATATCAGGCTGACACAAGCGATGTTGCGTGATTTTGTTGCAATGTGTGTCACCCCGGTTCAAATTTGTTGCTTGCAATGTTGCGTGCAATGTTTCGCCTTGTGTCAGCACCTTAAAGGTGCTGACACACGGTGCAACATTAAACTTACTCATTACAAACTAGCATCGTCAATTTTACGCTCACCTACGGTAATTTTGTGTTACCGTAATTTGTTTTCCAATAGCCCGAAACTACGAGTAGAAAATACTACGACAAGTGGCACACGTTTTCACTTATAGTTCAGGGACAACTAAAAAACCAGTTTTCCAATAACTACTGCACTGCTAGCTTTCTTCCAGTTTCGATCGAAGATCAAGATATTTTTCAGTCTCTCGGCTCCTTCTACATTCAAAGTGTTCATAAGCTGGTTTTCTTGAGTGTTTGTACAGGTTAAATGTCCATTTAACGATCTGAACTTTGAAAACGTTTTTCAAACTCTTCAGTATTTGAATTTTCATTTCTTCTAGCAGTTAAATGCTTGTTTTTTTTTTTGGCTTTTTTGCTAAAATTTACAAGCAATTTTCCTTTCTTGTTCTACAAATGCGATAAACCAGTTGTATGCCAGCCTGCACAGAGCTGTCATTACCTGTCAAAACTGGACCAATCAGATAGCCATAGGTCGCRTTTTTAGCCAATCATCGCATAGATCAAATTTGTTTATGTGAGTTTGACGACAGACGCGCTTTCTTTTTGTAAACAAACCTTTTTTTACGCTACTTTTCTCGCAAAAATCTATTACATAAAGCGAATACGCCTACGGCTCGTGATTTATATAACTTTTTTCGCGTCCTACGACTCCAGTCGTATTTTATCAAAGAACAGAACAGACCTAAGCCTGATCTATTTGTTAAGTAATCCGTAAAATATTTTATTTACTTTTCCTTATGATAAGATGGCTGCCATTTTTTTCTCCTCGATTTGCTAAATTTCCCTCAAATTTTTCGTCCTAAAAATTTGTCATCTTATTGGCTAATTAAAATCAATTTCTATTGTTTATTATCCAATCAAAAGCGAGAATTTCGTCATCCCCATAATGCCTTACGTTTTTGGGGGGCAACCAATCAAAAAACTGTCCCAAATTGAAAGGTTTCTTAATTGAATTTATACTATACCTGCTTTTATCTGTACAATACTGATAATCAGTTTATTCCAAGTTATTTTTGCGTGTACAGATCATGAAGTGTTTCAGTCTTACAGAAAATGTATTGACTTACGAAAAAATTTTTAAAATTTACTTTAAACGTCTTCAAGCTTCTATCTTTTTCTGTTTTTTTTACTTCTTTATTTTATCTTTGAATACCAAACAAGGTATTTTCAACATTGTCTGATCAGCCTTCAGCAAAATAAGTTGTGGTTTTACCCTCTGCTTACCCCCCAAAGACGCAAAGGATTATGGGGATGTGAAAGTCGAGAATTACACTTTTCGGCACTGTATTACACTTTTCTGCACTGTAGTACGTTTTAACAACACTGCTCTAAGCCAATCAGAATGGAGTAGTTTTTTCTTATATGTTATTAGATTTATATGTTTTTTTAATTCTATACTACGATTTATTTAGAATGCGTCGGCATATCCCTATATAAAGAAACGCAGAAGAAATAAAACAATTCCGTTTCGTATTTGTCGCTTATTAAAGATATGTGAATTCGTCCTACTCATTCCTTGATATTTATAAAGGCATTTTTTTGGCAATGTGGATGGATAGACTACGCTGCCGTTAGACAAGATCTCAATAAGACAAGTCAATTCCTCAAGTGGTATCAATAACCGGGGGAGTGTTGGGTTAAAAAATAATGGAAAAGCCACTAGCTTGATCTTACCTATAGCTAGCTCGCAGTGCTCTCCTACAAACTCTGCAGCACATGCACAGTTGTATGAGTTGACTCGGTCTTGACATGATCCTCCATTTTGACAAGGATTAGAAGCACACTCATCGATATCTGATTAAAACATATGTTTGTCATTTATATAATTGTACCAAGCTGTTAATTCAGTAATAACCAATCCTTACCTGTCTGACATTCGGCCCCAGTAAATCCTGCAGCACATGTACAGTTGTATGAGTTGACGTGGTCTTGACATGATCCTCCATTTTGACAAGGATTAGAAGCACACTCATCGATATCTGGTGAAAGATATATTTGTCATTTATATATTTGTACCAACCTGTTAATTTCAGTAACGAACCAATTCTTACCTGTCTGACAGTTGACCCCAGTAAATCCTGCATCACATGTACAGTTGTATGAGTTGACTCGATCTCGACATGATCCTCCATTTTGACAAGGATTAGAAGCACACTCATCAATATCTGGTGAAAGATATATTTGTCATTAATATATTTGTACCAATCTATTAATCTTAATATTAACCGTTTTCATTTACCTGTCTGACAGTCAGTCCCAGTAAATCCTGCAGCACATGTACAGTTGTATGAGTTGCCGTGGTCTTGACATGATCCTCCATTTTGACAAGGATTAGGAGCACACTCATTGATATCTGTAAAATATATCAATATTAATATGTATTTGTATCTACTACCATCTGTACCGCTTCAAAGTATAATTTAATATACACGTCAAAACATCATATCGAAATTATCCGTAACAAAAGCCTTTAACAAATGTCACGGAGCGCGCGCCCCCTATTAAATTTCCATGGAAATTGCAGCATATTGCTATTTTACTCCACACTTCAGTGGGAAAAAAAATTTTACTTATACTATAATACTAGTTTTATTAGAAATTTTCAAAGCGATAGAGCAAATATTTAAAATTTTCAATCAATCAATCAATCAATAACTTATTTAAACACGTATCGTCCAAGAGCTTATAAAGCTCGTTCAAAATACAATACTATGGATAATATTACGAGAGAACGTGACCTTTATTTGGATGGCGAGCTGGGAGCCCTGTGTCTAACCTCTTATACGCATACTCAAGTCTATTTTTACCGACAGAATCGAATTCAGCGTAAAATTTCCTTCACTTTGGTATGAAATTTCAATCATTTTTGATAGGGCAAACATCAATTGAAGTTGTAGGTCTTTGTCTCTTATTTATTATTGTGGAGAGGATTTTGATGGCTGAAATGGAAGCTCTTCAACGAATTCTCGTAAACCACCTTCGTTTGCATGCAGTATCAACAAGTAAGACTTAAATTGTAAATATGATTTAAAATTTGTCCATGACCTAAAATGACTGATAAATTTTTTGTAAGCTTATATGAAGCTTATATGACTTTTGTGTGATTTATTTTCTATTGTCGAAAATGATGCTTTAAAATTATTAACTATTTCGCTTTTTATTTGTCGGAGTTTTCAATAAATAGAATGTAATTTTAAAGCCTAAAACCTTTATTGTTTTTTATTAAAAAAGAAGAGCGTGGTAAAGGTGAGTCTGCCTTCACCGTAATTGAATTTCTAGTGTAATAGCAGGTGGTGTGTGACACGGGTTCGCAAAGCATGATGGGTGAAAACGTAAAATGTGCTCATTTGCTTCAGACCGTCGTAGTGTACAGAGCTCCAGCTGCATCTTCCGATACCGAAAATTTACGGTATTTCTGATGATATTTTCAAAAGTTGGAGGTCTTAAGGCTAAGCAAAGTTCTCCATGTTTAATAAAATACATAAACTTCTACAACAGTTTGAAAAGTTGAAAAACTTCACAGCTTCAGCTTGAGTTGTCCAATACTCATAACTGGCTTTGGCTGTTGCTATTATGTGAAAAAGAAAACAGTTTTAGAGTCATTTTATAGATTCAAGATAATACTGGCATTTTGTGATAGTTCGACCAAATAACAATTGAAGAAATAGTTGAATGTAGTTTAATTAATAATATCTAAGTTAAGTTAAATGTAGTTCCTTTCCGGAGAAATTTTCAATGATTTTTTTACGAGTCCACTCTTAGAGTTGGTGCCCAACACGACCGTTCCGTATTTGACTCTGCTGGTACCAACAACAACGCGACATATATATGGAACTTAAGGTGGATTTGATTAACCATATTAACTCTGGACGGTTGAATATTGCTGACGTAAGGAGCATCGCGCGGGCGCGTTGTTGTTGTTGGTATAGTACAAACAGAGTCAAGTACGGAACGGCCGTTAAAGAAGTAACGCTCATAGGCTATTCAAACCGTTTGACCTTTGGAATGAAAACGTCTGCATTACAACAGCGAACGAAGGAACACGGACACAAGATAAGTAAACCAGTATAACGTTAATTTAATTCAAATATTCGAAAGGAAAAAAAAAACCTATAGAAATCCAACCACATTCGGTGTCCTAGGGCCCTTGCTTAGTCCATTCAAATCCTAAATTAACTGATGATTTGGCCAACAAACAGAAAGGAGTTTTAGGAACTTCCGATAGAAGAAAAACTAATTGAAACGTAAACAATCACTTTATGAACTTCCCACTTCTAACCGAAGAAACAAAAGATATTTTGCTTACTTTTACTTCAAACTTCACTTATCAGTAGGAAAAGGCCTATGCTTTCCATGTCCTTGCAACAAGCTCTTAATTTTTAGTTTGGAAGAAATAGAGAGGCTTTTTTTTCAGCAATAGGAATTTGGAAAATGCTTCAATACCTTTTTTTTTTTTTTTTTTTTTTTTTTTTCGTCAAATTGATCAGAAAAAAAATTGGAATTCTCAAAGCATCAGTACAGGTCTGTTACTACAACAGGATACAACTTTTGATCTTTTGTCGTTGAAATTATCTGGATTTTGGAAGAACGAAGAAAAGAAGAAATCTCTTAAATATAGCGTTTTGGTGCCCTTCTCTCTATTTTTGGACGCCATGTTTACGCATGAGCAGAAGGAATTTTGTGGCCGAGGGAGACTAAACGCCAGCTCGAGCAAATGTTCTCTGATATGGGGAATAAGTTTAATGTGTGGACTACAAGGCATCATGGGGCATCCAAGGGGCAAATAATTAACTAATGTGATGAGGTTTGATGACATATTTTTCTTTATATCTCCTGTCATTATTACGGCAAAAAATGCATGACACACATCGATAACCTTATCAGCCATCTTATTTCAGCTGTGTTTGTTTCCTGGATACCCCATAATGCCTTGCAATCCAACATGCCCCATAATAAAGTCGAAGAATGAATATTAATTTTTTGAAAGTTTGCCAGTTAATAAAACAGCATAAAACAGCCAAAATAAGTACACAATAAATGATGATCACCGTGCAATCCTGGGAGTAAAATGACGCATGTTGGGGTATATATTTACGTAGTTGGAGACTACACGTAGCTTAGAAACGATTTTTTGTTAGGAGCCTGAAAATGCAAATGTGTCACTCTTTCGCTCAGCAAATAGCGCAAAATATAACACAAATGAAATATACACAAATGAAATATACACAAATGAAATATACACAAATGAAATATACACAAATGAAATATACACAAA